CCTGAGAGTGGACGCAGGTGTCAGGACCCGGGGGCCTGAGGCCACGGGGCAGCCAGGGCCGGGCCGGCTGTGTGGAGTTGCTGCAGCAGACCCTGGGCTGCGAGGGAGCGAGGGTTTGGATGCAAAGAAGAAACAGAACCAGATTCGCATCATGGAAATCCAAGCTGGGGCCAAGTGCAGGGGCGTGGGGGATGGGCTGCGGCTGGAGCTGGATGAGGGGTGCGCTGAGAGGACGGACTCAACTGGGGTTTTACCGGGACCAGGGAGGGCAGGTCTCGGGGGCCTCCCCACGCAGGGAGACCCCAGGCGGCTCATTCTAGGCCCACCAGCTTGCTGGGCTGTGGAGAAGGAAGACCTGCATGGAGGAGGAGGTGTGGGGATCCCTCAGTGCACCCGGCCCAGAGTGCAGTGTGCAGGCCCTGCCGGCTGAGGTGTGGCCACGGCTGGGCTCCTGGCTCCCCCACCCCGCCTTCCTCCTCCCCCAGGCCTGTGGCCCCAGTGCGGCCCGACGCCGTCCAGCAGTGGGGCCAAGAGCGCGTTATCAGATAATAAATAAGGCGGCTGGAGCCGTCCGTGTCAACATCTTGGCGGCCGCACAGGGCACTGTGCGGGAGGGGGCTGCCCACCAGGGACACCCCCACCTGGTGGGAGGCTGTGGGCTTAGGCAGCCTCTACTGCTGAGGCGCCTTCGGGGGGGTGGACGTGGGCACCCTGGGGTCTATCCCCAGCCACAGCCTCACAGCCTCGGGGGTGCCGGGTCCCTCAAGTGTCACTTCTTCATCTGTGGGATGGGGGTCCTCGCGTGGAGGCCCAGACACGGCCCAGAGGCAGACGTGGAGGGCTTGGGCCTGGGTGCTTGTTCCCCGGGCCTCACCTTCCACCTGGTGGCTTAGCACCTGGGGGCCGTGTGGAGATGGCCCAGCCTGCACAGGTGGGTTTGCTGCTGAGCGCATGCTGCAGCTGGCGGTGCCGGGCTGGGGGCCCTGGTGTGTCAAGAGCCCCACTCAGCCTCCCTCAGGGACCCCACCATGCACACACCAGGCCCTTCCCCACCGTGGGCCCTCTGAGGAGGAGGCTGGGCCCCAGGGTGCCCGAGGGTCACAGTGCCAGCTGCTCCTGCCACGGGGAGCCTGGGTTGGGACACCAGGTACTGGCCAGCTTCTGAAGGCAAGTCTGATGTCCCCAGAAACACGGCCCCTGAGGCTGTGGATCCGGCCTCGCTCTCAGGTGAGAGCCTGGACTTGAAGGCCGTCCTGCCTCCCTCCTGCCTGGGCCGCTCTCCACCTTCTCTCCTCTCCGCTCACTCAGCCACCCTGCCTTCCCCACCTTCTCTTCTCTGTTCACTCAGCCTCTCTGCTCACTCAGCCACCCTGCCTTCCCCACCTTCTCTTCT